ACCCTTGATTAGTCACATTCTTAACACAGACTCCAGAGCCACTGCAATCTTTTTGGTGGGTATAGTTAACAAGAGATTTTTTTTTTTTTTTTTTTTTCAGGGACTGTTTTTTTTAACTCACATTCACAGCAGCTTTTTGTAGAACTTTTCTGCCTATAGAACCTCAGTGACTTTCAGAGGTACTCTGAATTAAATTCAGTCTCTTAGAGTTACTCACAGCAACAGATGATGAGCTGTATTATTGATTTGCCATGACTTAGTGTTCTTATGACAGATGGAAAATATCAATCATGTCATTAACTCAGCTGACCTTTATCTCTTATTGGGAATTTCTCAATGAAGGGAGTAAGTGCATGGATTCACTATCAGCACGATAGAATTCTGTCTCAGAATTTCCCATACCTGCAGTTTCTCCTTCCCTTTTTCTGCTCTTTGCTTCAGATGCTCAATTCACAGCAGCCTCTCAGCTCCTAAAATGAATGAACCAAGTTATCTTTCACCGTTGAGTCATCTGTGCATGTCTTCTATTTCTGAAATGTCTGTAACTATCCCCTGCGTGACTTCTTTTCATCCTTCACATCACACTTCTGATCTCAGAGAGATATCCCCAGGTTACATATTCATAATAGGTTATCCTATTTTATAGCACCCTGTTATTTTTCTTTTATGTCGGCTGTCATAATGTAGAACTATATACCTAAATGCTGCCCTGTTTCCAGAAGACTTAAGAAAGGCAAATGATGGTACCCTCTAGTCAGCTATGTTTCACAATAGCCTATGATAGATTGTTAGAAGTCCTAGTCTATAGAAACCTACTGAAATTTATTTGATCCAGAGCTTCCGAAAATTACCAATCAGTGCTAAATATTTTGGAAAGCTATATGGCAGGCTTTTTAGAAAAGACTGCTCAAATCTTTTCAAGTTCTACATTTTCTAGAAAGGGAGGACACAGGTTAGTTATTGCCTACCCCGTAAGTTAAGCTAACAGTTCAGGGCTGTCTTTGATGGACATACCAGTATTTACAGTATGTATATTTCCATTGAGTGACTGAGCTCACTCTTGCCATTCTATTTTATTACCTCTGTTTTACTATGTTAGACAGCTGTTTTTGGTTTTGTTTTATCAATCTTTATTCTAGTATCTTCCTTGAAAATCATCACAGACTAGATTTTATCAGAATACACAAAATATTTATGATTCTTCCCCCCATTCCTATCCACAATAAGCCATCATCTATTATTCCACTGCATGTTGGTGGTGTCTATTACAGTATGAATAAAAATGGATCAAGTAAATTACAAAAATTATTTAAATATATCCCTCCTGTTCTATTGTAAGCCCCTAAAGGGAAGGATGTTTATGTTCTCATTCTGAATTTCTCAAATTTATCTAGGGCCCTACAAGAAATAAATACCAGAGAATTTAAATGTGAGGAGTATATTTTTGGAGGTAATCAATGTATTAGAGGGGAGACTGACAAAAATATAAGCAGTTGTAATGTGTTCTATGACAGAAAAATATGAGCAGACATAAAGGCTCCTGGGATTGCTTTCCAAAAGAGGCAGTGCATTAGCTAGACAGATCAAACAAACAAACAAACATGCTTTCACCCTGTGGAAGAGGAGAAAAGCAGAACTAACACCATAGTACAGTCATGCAGTGTTTTCTATATGGAACTCTTTACTCTGACTAAATGCTGCTAAACTTTAGAATTAATTGTCAATTCTGGGAGAAGTCTTTCTGAGACCCTCACAAACCAAACCAGTATCCCAACAGAGACATGTCATTTATTGTTGCTTCATAATGTTCTTAATATAGAAATAATTCTTATTTCTATTTCCTCTAAAATGCACTCACCACAAGAGGAAGACACTATTTTGGTCTTTGGCATACCCTTAATACTCAGAAAAATGTCTTAGGTTCTCTATCAGTACTTGTAGAACACGTGAAAAAGCAGCAAAGTGGATGTGTTTTTTTCTGTAGGTTAGGGAGTGATAGAAAAATTGTAGGGCAAGAGGTAGATTTTGAAATGTATGCTGAAGAATTGGGATTTTATTTTATTGTGGACAGGAAATCATTGAAGGCATTTTGAGAAAAAATATCAGTCAAGAAGTTATACTAAGTTTCTGACTTAGTGAGCTGCCCCACAAAACAATCATTGAAACTGACAGTGTATATTACATAGATAGAATTCGTGTGTGTGTGTTCCCATGATGCAAGTTGAGTGTTTTTTTCACTTGAGTTTTTTTATACTTGTAAAAATACCATCGTTAATAATATGAACATGAATAATTACTCGCAATCTTTTGATTTACGTGTATTTTTAAGGCAGACTACTCCAGAGAAAGCTGGAAATCTAGATCTCAATAATTCTTATCTCCTCTGCACTTACCTGCATTATTAGATTAGTAGTTAGTTATTCACATGTTTAAAAGATTTGGAAGGCAATAACTAATAAAACTATTTAATGCCATAGAGCTGGGTTATCTGATGTAGTAGCCATTAGTTATATTTGTTCATATAAGTTTAAATTAATTTAAATTAAATTAAAACTTAGTTCTTGGCCCTCCCAATGGCACAATGGATAAAGACGCAGCACTGCAAGCTAGCTGCAGCCGCTAAGTTTAAGTTGGATCCCTGGTCCGGAGGTGACCCACATGGTGCAGCAAACCTCTCCTGTCTCACTGGCTACTCCCCTCAGCAATGTACTTTGACGACCTACCTGTTTTGCTCCCCACTCTGCAGTAAATTCTCTCACCATCCCTGCACCTCTGGCTTGCACCCCATTTCTATATACATAAATAAACAAATCTTAAGAAATTCTTAAATTCTCCACATGTTGAATTATACTTTGACTTCTACAGGAAACTCTACTGAACAGCACTTTAACTTGAAAGATCTTAACTGAAACTAGAAAGAAAACTTAATCATGCTAATTTTCATATTTGTAGTGCTATATGTTTTTCCAAGCCTACTTTCCTGCATTATCTTACTTTATTCTGAGAACAAGCTGTACTGAGAGATTGTGGTCCCAACGCAGGTGAGGGGTGTGGAGAGAGCAATGCCACTGACATGCCAGTTTCTCTTTGGTAGCAGCACATGGGCTTTACTGAGAGAATTGGACTCACCCACAGATATCGATCTGGATGATAGATTAAAAAAAAAAAAAAAGGACTATCTCTGGGTCATGGATTGTAGAGAAAGTTAAAATAAACACAGAGTGGGGTGAATGTTTACCCTGACTGAAATCATCTCTTCTGTTATTTCATGTGACAGTGTTTTAGCAATGCGTTGCAGAACAAAAGATAGAATGGTATGAGAAATGTATACATTTTAATCAGATTGAAAGAAATATAACTTCTTTCAAGAGAGTGATCAACAGCCGACAATTAGAGTAAAGAAGTGAAAATGCCCTTCTTGGTCCAGGCAAGACTGTTTATCTGATGGACTATAACAAGGGCTAATTTACAGTGACAGCAGCAGCAGGAACAGCTTCCTAGCAACCTCCTAATAGTCCAGCATGTCCCGGCCACTGATCCTGGTCACTCAGCCACCCAAGCAGTACTGCTATTTCCTAGTTCTCTGTCTCTCTTGTGCTTATATATATGAGCAAAGCAGGGGAAATAAAATGGATGATCCATAATGTAGATTAACAGAAGGAATATGGTTAACAAATAAAGCAGACTATAAAACCTTCAGCTTAAAATCTGAAGTTGTAAATCACATAAAAACCATGGCCTGGAGTATACTGTGTTACTCATAAAATTTCAATTTGTGTAAGTGGATGTTGCTCCTGGTTACCCATAAAGACGCAAAGTGGCAATAGTTTCCATAGGATGTAACTTTCACAACCATCTCCTGTACTTGTGGCCTGGGGGAGTTCTGCCTGAGGACTTCAGGATCCACACATGGGAGCCTTGGGTCATGACACCAAAAGGAAAATTCCACTTGCTGCTTATTAAGTTTAATAATGCAGGGCAAATTTTAATAAAACCAGGTGAGACTGCTAAGCACTTCACAAGTGAACACAAATAGTTGATGATGGGAGAACATATTTCTGGAGGATGTATTCTCTTTTTGGAGTGCTCTCTTAGATAGCTGTTCCTTTATCATTCATCAAAATAGAACAATTTCTTAGTAAACTGATAAAATGCATTGATCACATGCTGATGGCACTCAGTGTCCATCCCAGCTTACAAAGTTATATTAATTTCTGGACATTTGTTTGAAAGATCCATGGAGACTGAAGTAAACATTTTCACCCAGATATGGGATGCTTTTTCCTCTTCCAGGAAAGTATTAGTGGTTCAATATTTTGATTCAAAACCATCAGTAGTTTAAGTTACAAATATATTACTGCTATAGTATCATTCTACCTCTTGCTTCACAAGTTATTAAGGCCATTTTTTCGTGTGTATATTTGAGGCCCCTCTCTTGAACAGGAAATTGAACAGTGGGAAAACTTGAGATTTCTGTCTTCTCCTTAGTCGAGACCTCAAGTTCTTTGTTTTACCCACATTGCTGCAAGCAAGCTCAGTATAAGTCCCATCCAGGAAAATTGGAAGCAGAAGAGATTTAACTCTGCAGTTAGGATTCTCACTCATTCTCGTCCTTTATTCCAGGCACATGGCTCTTAAAGCTCTTCTGGTTTCTCTTGAATACTCTTCACCCTACTGCACACACAGTAGATGTACTGGCTACAGAATTTCTGGTAGCCCAGAGAGGACTAAACTATCAATATAGCATTGAAATTTGGTTTCTTTCAGCCTTTTGTTTTTATTCTCTAGTGATTTTAATTAACCCATGATATTTGTATATATTTACTTAGTTTTGACTGGAGAATATTCTGTTAAGACTATGTCCATTTCATCTGAAAGAGCAGACAAAAGATTGCCTCTGATGCTGAATTTATTACTGCATGCTATTCTTTGAAATAAATACTGAAAAACCTTAGGACATCCTCTTCATTTTATCAAATTCTATTGAAATCCAAAGGCATTAAAATATATAATATTGTCCTCCATTGGTATATTTTGATTCCTCATTTTTATTTTTGAAAGAGAAAATTATTTAGGCATTTCAAGACAAGACTTTATGATTATCACTTTAATCTATTCCAGCCCTAAAAGTTTTAAAGTTTTTTAGTCATAAGAAAACTTATGTCTTACACTACTTTTAAGAATCAAATTTGAGAATTATATAACATTCTGAAATGTACAATTTTATTTTAGAGGTCATTATCTTTTATTGCTTTCACCTTCAAAATTTACTATTTATTCAGCTTAGCAAAGACACTTCTTTTTTCTCCCTTTTGTTCTTTTTAAATTGCTTCATGAATCATTCAAATTTACTCTCTACATAAAAGCAGCAGAAAATCCTTTTTGCACCTTACCAACAAAATGTTTATTTAATCCTTACTAATTTCAAGAAAATTTCAGTACTCTCCATGCAAAATATTTCCTGTTCAGTCAGCTTTCTTATTGAATAATTACCTTAGGTTTGGAAAGTACTCTGTTACATCCTTTTCAGCTAATGCAATTCAAATCTGGAAGAAAAGAAAAATTCTCTCATATTTAATGGTCCATAAATTTTCTCTTAACTAAATGATTCCTTCATTCTGTATAATCTGATGTAAACTCCCCTTCATTTTCTACAAATTCATTTTTGCAGATTTATTCCCTTTTCCCTAATCAGTACACTTCAGTTAGGACCACCATAAAGTTTGCAAGGGCACTAATAATTATTGAACTGCAGAAAAATTTTAGTACCATTAAACAAACTCATCTCAAGAGGTTTATTAATCTCTAATAAAAAGCTAAACTTTATTTAGCTATGTATTTTTTTTTCATTATAACAACACTATCAGGTAGGTACTCTGATGTTCCTACATCACAGATATAGAAACTGAAGGTTGAAGAATTAAGAAGATTGTTCAAGTAATAATCTTTTTTTTTTTTT